GAGCTAGGATGACGCCACGGCACTCTAGCCCGGGCAACACAGTGAGACTCTGTCTCAAAAAAAAAAAAAAAAAAAAACATGCAGGAGGCACAAATGACCCACAAGACACACTCCTCACCCTGGGACACTTACAATTTCATTGGGAAAATAATTTTTTAATCAATGAGAAAACGCCTCAAAGCAGAGTTCAGGAAAATTAATTTGACAACTCATCATGGATCAAACTCAAAGGGAGAGTGGAAGACAGGCTGAAGAAATAAGAAAAAGCAGCACGGAGGCAGGACTTACATTGGGCATTAACAGGGATGATGAAGATTAAAGAGGAAATGAAAGACAACTTGGATTATAGAGAAAAACGTGAGTGCTCAGGCTGGGTCTAGAATGAGTACTTGTGAACATAGATTAAAACAGATTTTTCTGCTTGAGAAATGGGATTTACAAAATCCCTGCCACTGTGTATTTTAACAACGTCTTTTCTAAAGCCTTCAACCCCACACTCAATCTGTAGAGCGATAATTTGAGTATATAAAATAGTTAGCAGGGAGAATGACAAGTAGTATTCCTGAGAATAGCATTTCCAGATAAATGAAATTTAACCCTTAATCTATGGAGCATTTTTAATAAACGTATTTACGTTTTATGGAAATACGTCCTAGATCAACATTATAAGATTGATATTATTCCTTATTCTAGAGAAAGAAAACAGGGACCCAGAAAATTTGTACCTAGATTTTTATTCCTAAGCTCCTTCACTCAGTGGAATTTGGGGAACAATCAAATGACAAGAAGACAACAGACTGGAAAACAGTTCTGTACAGTTTGAGAGAACCTTATTTTTTCATGCAAAGTGTTTTATCTTCCATCTTGCATCAGTTTTCTCTCCTCACCTCTTTTTGTGTTTGTTTCTTCCAAGTCTCAGAAACCTTGCTTCAACTTTCTAAAACCATGCCATATGTTTTCTCAAGTCTCTTCTTTTCAGAATGGGTATTCAGTGGCGTTTTCTCTTTAGTTACACTTGAAAAGTGACATTGCCCTCAGGTACCACGATAGTCACCAAATGACTGACTTCTACTGAATTCAAGCATTATTTTCTCAGTTACCGTCTGCTTGAACCTGGGGGTTTTCCATGACACTCCTGACTTTACCTAGATTTTAACTGCTAAGCTCCTTCACTCAGTGGAATTTGGGGAACATTTGCATATTATTCCCAGCTGTCTTTTGAATGTCTCTTTTCTGCCTCTATTTCCCCCCTCCTATTCTCAGGTCCACTTCAGTCTTCTT